ACGACCTCACCGGTTACGGGGAATCTAACCCAGGGTGGGAAATACAACCCAATGGCACACCTGAAATATCTTTACAAGCCCTTACGGGACTTGCGTCCCCTCAAATAATGAGTTGCAGGGCTAATCCAGGGACGCCAAGTGTCGATCCTCATAGACAGTGGCAGCTCCCTTGACTTCATAACTCAAGTCTTGGTGGATAAAATGGGACTCCTGGTTCAACCAACAACGGCTTTTACGGTTCATGTGGCCAATGGCAATAGCCTATCCTGCAATAGCATTTGCATGGGCTTACCACTAAAAGTTCAGGGTCACCAGTTTGTGGTGGACCTATATCCTCTTCATCTCAGTGGAGTGGACGTGGTGCTAGGCATTCAATGGTTAAGACACCTAGGGCCCGTGATCTGTGACTGGGCCCGTCTCACCATGGACTTCACATCAGGGAACTCTATAATCCATCTACAAGGGCAAACATGCAAGGGTCCAAGGCCCATCAATCTTGCAACATTAACAAAGAAAATGGGAGATCGGGATCAGCCCATATTCATGCACATGGACTCAAATTGGACCAGCCTATATTTAGCTAACAGCAGCCCAGCCCAAATGGGCCTAGAGACTTCCAAAGCCGCCTACAACAACTCCTTCAGCAATATGGCAGCGTGTTCGAAGAACCCCAAGAACTTCCACCACGTTTGGAGCATGACCACCGCATCCCCCTCATGCCAAGAGCTGCCCCAACCAATGTAAGACCTTACCGATACCCTTACTTTCAAAAATTTGAAATCGGGAAGCAAGTTCAAGATATGCTTAAGCAAGGGATAATACAGCCCAGTCACAGCCCATTCTCTTCACCAGTATTATTAGTCAAAAAGAAGGATGGGACGTGGCAATTTTGTATTGATTACAAAGCCCTTAACAATATCACCATTAAAGACTGATTTCCAATACCGGTCATTGATGAGCTGCTTGATGAACTCAGTCAGGCCACCATATTCTCAAAATTAGATTTACGAGCTAGGTATCATCAAATAAGGGTACATAGGGAGGATGTTCACAAAACAGCTTTCAGAACACAATGATGTCCACTATGAGTTCCTGGTCATGCCATTTGGGCTGACCAATGCTCTAGCCACATTTCAAGCATTAATGAACGACATATTCCGACCATATTTACGTAAGTTCATCCTTGTTTTCTTTGATGACATATTGGTCTATAGCCCCAATTGGGAGAAGCATCTGAATCATCTACAGGTCACCCTTGCAACACTTGAGGCCCACCAGTTGTTCGCTAAAGAGTCCAAGTGCTCCTTTGGACAAAACCAAGTTCACTACTTGGGACATGTTGTAGAGAACGGAACTGTAGCAGCCGACCCAGATAAAATCTCCAATATAATGGGCTGGCCGCAACGCAAAAGTGTGAAAGAGTTGAGGGCCTTCTTGGGCTTGACTAGGTACTACTGCCACTTCATCAAAAACTACGGCCTAATAGCTACCCTGTTGACCTAATTGCTGAAACAAGATGCTTTTCACTAGTCAACCCAGGCCCAACAAGCTTTTGAGCAGTTGAGAGAAGTAGTTGTGAGCCCTCCAACATTAGCATTGCTTGATTTCAAAAAGACTTCATCATTGAATGTGATGCCTCCAGTCAAGGTGTTGGGGTTGTTCTCATGCAAGAGGAGTGACCACTAGCCTTTTTCAGCAAGGCCTTAACATCACAAAAGTGGGCCAAATCAGTTTATGAACGAGAATTAATAGCAGTGGCCTTAGTAGTCCAACGTTGGCGATCCTACGTGCTCGGTAGACAGTTCATAATTCAGATCGACCATCAAAGTTTGAAGTTCTTATTGGATCAATCAGTCCTATCCCCAGAACAACAACAATGGATATCCAAGCTACCAGGGTACAACTACATAATTGAGTACAAAGCAGGGGCTGCTAATCAGGTGGCTGACGCCCTCTCACGGCACCCACAATCATTTTAGTTACTAGTATCTTCCTCAACTTCTCCACTCCTAGATCTACTTCGAAAAGAAGCCCAATCCCATAGGGAGTTACAGCAGTTGAAGGCCCAAGTATTGGCAAATCCCTCACTGCACCCCAGGTACACCATTAAGAATGATCTACTCTTCTTCAAGGGACGCACGAAAATTCCGGCAGATTCTGCTCATCTCAGGAAACTCCTGGAATTATTCCATGCCTCACTCACAGGTGGCCACTCCAGCATCCTACGAACACAAAAACGCATCGCCACACAATTCCATTGGAAAGGCATGCGTCCATCTATCTAGAACTTCATAGCCGGGTGTGCAGTATGCCAACAAAACAAGTCGGCCACTACAACACCAGCAGGCCTCTTGCAACCACTCCCAATACCAACCCAAGTCTGGGATGATATATCAATGGATTTCATCACAGGATTGCCCATTTCTGCCGGCAAAACAGTTATCCTTGTGGTAGTGGATAGATTGACGAAATATAGTCATTTCCTACCTCTATCCACCCATTTACAGCAGTCACAGTTGCTGAATTGTTCCTCCGGGAAATTGTGCGCCTACACGGGCTCCCCAACTCAATTATATCAGACAGGGACCCTATTTTTATGAGCCATTTCTGGGCTGAGCTTTTTCGCCTGCACGGGGCTAAACTCTTCAAGTCAACTAGCTACCACCCCCAATCTGATGGACATACAGAGGCGGTTAACAAGAGTCTCAAAACACATCTGAGATGCTTCGCGGGAGATCGACCAAGACAATGGGTGAAGTGGATCCACTGGGCTGAATGGTGGTCCAACACCACTTTCCATAGCACCGTTGGGATGACACCCTTCAGAGCTCTATATGGTCGGGACCCTCCCCCTCTACTTCCTTATGAAAAAGGGACCACCACAGTAGTGGCCTTAGAAGAACAGCTGACGCAACGAGATGAGGTGTTAAAGAACTGAGACATCATCTCTTACAGGCACAGCAATGGATGAAGCACACCTATGATAAACATCACAAGAATGTCCAATATGAAGTCGATGATTGGGTGTTTCTCAAATTACAACCTTTCAGACAGATTTCAGTTGCAAGCCAACAGTGGAACAAACTCAGCTCACGCTATTTTGGACCATTTAAAATCCTTGAGAGAATAGGGTCAGTGGCCTACAAGCTGGACCTTCCGGCAACATCAAAACTGCACCCGGTATTCCATATCTCCTTACTGAAGAAAGGGCCGAAGCCAGGAGTCATTACAAGTGCGACCCTTCCCACATTTTCAGATGAAGGACAAGGTGCAAACTGAGCCAACCCGCATCATTGATTTCAGATGGGTGCGTCGGGGTGGAAGAGTCATCCAGAAGCATTAGTTGTTTGGTCTAAACTCCCAGAAGAGGATGCAACCTGGGAATCCTACTTAGATATGCAATCAAATCTTCCCACATTAGACCTTGGGGGCAAGGTCGCTCTAAAGGAGGGGGGGATTGTAAAGACTACTGGAACAGACCAACAAAAAGCACTTAATCAGTTTTACAAGAGGAGGCCACGTCAACACAACTAATTGTCCACTTGCAACAGCTATAACAGAAAGAAATCAAAGATTGTAAACAGTATAAGTAGTGAAACACAAAGAGAAATAAGACAGGAATTCTTTCGGCATTAATCTCTCTCTCTCTCTCCTTCCAACGAATTCAGAAGGTTGGCTCCCTCGAAGAGCCCTGAGTTAGGCAGGTTCCTAACATCCATGCTTAATGAGTTGGAGGTTGATTATGAGAAGCCTTTGATGATATATTGTGATAATCAAGCTACAATTAATATTGTCCACAACCCAATACAGCATGACAAGACTAAGCATATTGAGGTTGACAGACATTTTATCCGAGAGTCGCATCTCAAGAAGTATGCCTTCCTTGCATTGCCTCAGACATACAGTTAGCTGATCTCTTCACCAAAGCAATCACAAAAAGCAAATTGGAGACAGATCTACGCAAGTTGGCATGACAAATATCTACTCCCAACTTGAGGGGGAGTGAAGAAATAGTTGGTTAGCCACGAGTGTGGGTAACTCAGGCTCTAGTGTGTGTAGTTTCATACCCACACCTAGTTGTTTCTAATTTCTTTTATTAGTAGTTTCTAATTTCTTTTATTAGTAGTTTCTATTTTCTTTTATTAGAAGTTTCTAATTCTTTTAAGTTGGGCCAGCTGGCCTTATTGTTTCTAATTTTTGTTTTGTTTCTAAATTTTGTAAGGAACCTAAAGCTATAAATAAAGAAGTGTATGGGGCGGCAGATCATTAACCACCGAAGAACCCCCTCTCTCTCTCTCTCTCTCTCTCTCTCTTTCTTCTTTGAACCTGTATTACTTCTCTAATATAGTAAACAGTTTTTCTTCTTCTTCTTTCAAGTAACCTAAAAGCTTAAGCTGTTAAGTGAGGTCCTTGAATAGGTTTTATTCTCTAACATGCCCCCTCACACGAAAGCCCATTGGGCTTGAAGCATGTGCTGAAACTTAATTAATTATAATGGGGGTGATGAGAATCGAACACTAGACCACTTGGTCAAAGTGGCTCTGATACCATGTCAAAGAACCATTCAACCTAAAAKCTTAAGCTGTTAAGTGAGGTCCTTGAATAGGTTTTATTCTCTAACAGAATCTTTGGAATAAGCTAATCAACTGAAGAAGTGAAGAGACAGCAATATACAGAAAGATAGGGACATGGACAAGGAAAACATGTAGATATTTTGCAGTATGAACAAATCCACTGCAGAGAATATCAATAACTGAAAAAGTCCCTTATTAAGCTTGTTATATACAAGCTCCTATAAAGCCCACCACCAGATCTGAAAGTTTAAGACCCCTACCCACCATTAGATATCCTTATCTAACTACGCAGACCAATCACAGACTGGATTGGCAATTCAAAAAGCATGTCAAAATAACATAAATTGCATTAGTATTCACCAACACACGAAAGAAAAATAGCACAATACATAGAAAGGGCAGTTTAAAACTAGAAAGCATTCTTACCTCCCCATGGCTGCATAAGCTTTTGAAAGATTCTGGCATGCTTCAATTGAATCTGCATGATGCGGACCAAGTGATACATCCATAATGTCCTTGGCAACTGCAAACATCTGGGCAGCAGACTGAGGTCTGTCCAGCTCTAAGTAGACTGCTCCCAAATTGTTATAGATATATCCCACTCCAAAATGTTTTGGCCCAAAACTCTCCTTCAACCTTTCTGCTGCACTCTCCAAGTATGGAATTGCCTGTGGAACCTTACCTGTCAACAGTAGTAGCCAACCTATCCGTGCAGAAACACTCCCTTCTGAATGCTGTTCTTGTGGGAGTTTCTCAAGTATGGCCAGACATCTCTTTAATAGTGAGATTGCAATTTCAAAGTCATTCATTGTCTCATACAACATAGATATTTCCATGTAAGCTTCAGCAACTTCTATGGGTGATACGGTTTCTTTTTTATCAAGAATACCACAGGATATCTCTAGACACCTCTTTGAATCAGCAAACTTCTCCTGATTACACAAGGCTTTTGCCATTGAAATAAACACAAGGGCTCGGTTTTCACTCTCCTTATCTGTCTGCTGAACAACACCCTTTAAAGTGTTAATTGCCTCATCATACTTTCCCAAGGCAATTTGCATATTGGCAGCATCAATCTCTGCACGCAACAGATCAGAACTTAGGCCCCAATTCTTTAAGACCTTCTGTGAGAGTTCATTCTGCTCTAATGCCTTCTCATGCTCTTCCAAGCCACAATAAATAACACCAAGAAGACGTCTATCGTGTGCAACCTCAACTGAGTTGTTGCCCAATTGAGCCTTGTGTATTTCCAATGCCTTCAAACAAAAAGGCAAAGCCTCTTTGAAATTCAAAACTGCCACATAGGCCTCTGCCAAGTCCCTATTAGCAATACCCAATTCTCTACTATCCGCCTCCAGAGCCATCTCTTTTAATTCCAAACACTTTCTAAGATTACCCAGAGCCTCCTCCCTTCGACCCATTGCTGTCTTTGTGTTTGCTAAATCAAGCTGAACAGCATGAAGAACAGGTCTGATATCACTAGCATCATATCCCTCTTCCTCCAATCTCCCCAGTATCCTATTAGCTCTATTTAGATACCCTAAGCTATCGTTAAATTTCTTCAATTTATAACTAGCAGAACCCATCAAATGTAAAGTCATTGCGACTGATAAAGAAACTTTATTATCGCGGTCTAATATCTTTAAGGCTCTATTAGCGAAATCTAGAGACTTCTCAGGGTCCGTACCTTCTTGGTCGAGCTTAAGGCCTACTTTCAGACATGCCAGCCCAAGCTCGTTCTCACTGAAAACCGATTCCATATCTTTGAAAGCTCTGAGAATCTCTTCAGTTGTCGTTGCAGATTCAAATTCTTCTTCAATTTCATTTTTCTCTTTGATTTTTCTCTGTCTGGAGGACAGATGAGGTGACTGCTCAACAAGGGTATCAAGATTTCGAGACGGGTGATTCTGAAATTGATACTTTTTGTTCTTAAAGAGCAACAATCCACGGGTTCTTTTACAGGATTTGAGATGGGAAGGAGAGAAGGGTAATGGGTTCTCCGTGAGGGGTAACGGAGTGGCGTCTGAGATGAAATCTCTGCAGAAAACTGAATTGGTTCTGCATCGGGTGAGATGTGAAAGAAGAGAAGATGACGCTCTTCTCATGACTGAAGAGAGGATTTAACCTGCGCCTTTCTGGTTTCAGAAAGAGATGAACTATGCCCGTTAAACCCTTGAAAAACCTGTTGGAGATGTCTAAACTTCAGTGTTGGTGAAGTATGAGTGTATGACTTTGCACACTATGCATACGAAGGGAGCGTGGGAAAAAAAAGGAAGTGCAGAATGCTAAGGCTACGCGAGAGTGTCGCCGTAACATGTACGATGAATTAATAAGGGAAGGGAAAATTCGCGATAGGTACTTTAGCCCGAGTGCCAATGTAGTATCCGAACTTTAAAATCAGTTAGAAGACAAAAAAACTTAAATACCCCTCAGCTATTTCAAGTAATGCATGAACCGTATAAATCACTGTTCACACTTGCAGTTAATGAGATTCCGAAAACCAGCTTCCTCACGCTGGTGATGTCAAGCAAAATGCATAGAAAAGTTGAAATGGACGCTCGAACACAACGACGAAAAAATTGAAATCGAAGAATCCAGTGCCATTGCCGAAAAGACGACTCCTGTTACTGTGACGATTTTAGATTAGACTACAATATGGATTGATGGATTTCCTCAATTTTATTTGTTGTCGTGGAGAGGTGGATGAATACAATTACAATCTTGGAAAATACAGACACAACTTCACCTCTTTCTTCGCAACTTCACCTTTCCAATTAAGCAAGCTGAAGAGCTAAGCAAAACTAGAGTTTGAATGCACTGATGATGAACCTGTGATTGTGAAGACCTTTTAAATTTCATACTATTTTTTTCCGATCTAAATTTTAACTTTTGAGGGAAGGAATAAAAATAGAGTACTTTATTATGATATGGGTATTATTTTTATCTGTTTCAATCGGTTATTAAGAGAAACTGAGCAAGTGACGTATTTGGTTTGGATTCTCTCTTCTGGAGAGAAGATGAGGGAAAAGTTACAATTTTTCATCTGGGCTTTGTTTCTCTGCGGTTCCTGTCTCGGTAGATTTGTGGTGGAAAAGAATAGCTTACGGGTGACTTCACCGCAGTCATTGAAAGGTGTTTACGAATGCGCAACTGGGAATTTTGGTGTTCCTCACTTCCTCAGTATGGCGCGCGGCACCATGGTTGGGACTGTGGTTTACCCGAAAGTGAACCAATAGGCATGCAAGGACTTCGACGAGGTCGATCTATCTTTCAAATCGAAGCCTGGAGGTCTTCCGACCTTTCTTCTTTCTGATAGAGGAGGTCAGTTATGTTCTGTTTGCATATGTTTTTGTATTTTTTGAACCGGGTAACTTTATAGCTTCCTTGAGTTTTAATTTGTTTGCGTCAATAAATGCTTCCTCGTGATTGATCGATTCTGTGATCTATGATTTCATGTTGTTTATTAATTCTGTGATCTATGGTAAGAATCAGTTCACGCTAGCGACTCGCAGCTGAATGTGTTCTCAACGGTGAATCAGGGGCTCCATACTACTGTAGAGTGGAGAACTGGAGACGGGCCTGATCGAACTTCGACGTTCTCAATGGTGAATACAGGAATGGTGAAACTCCGTCTCAACTCATGGATCGATGATGACTGGTTATCCACCCAGCTTGGGCTCGAGTTGTAAGACTCAGGAAGTGATTGCATTGGCGCAGGTCCATTGGCAAGAATATCGGAAAGACTTCCACTGTAATCGGCCATTAAGCTCAAGTAGTTCATCACGTATCGACTAAGAGGGTGCAGTCCACCACCAAGAACAAAGGATTTCGATGGATCCTTGTGAACTGCCGATTCGAAGTCCGATAGCATCGTTCTCACCGCGTCACCTAGTCTGATGAGTGAGGAGAGGGCTTGTGATCTTATCACGCTTGGGTTTTCATCATGAACCGATGGTTGTTTCATTTTCTTGAAAAAGAAGATTATGAAAGTGTGTTTATTTTCAAAAGTAATTTTGACATTTTCAAATGTCTTAAATTGGACATGAGGTCAAGTGATATACATAATTAATGGTCCACTAACGGTAGGTACTAGATTGTCGGGTTTCGAAAGTTCGGATACTATAGTGTCGCATTTTAAACTTCGGGTATTAAGGGAAAATTTCTGATTAGTACCATGTATTTGGGCCTAGTGCCACTTTGGTCCCCGAACTTTAAAATGCAACAATTCAATATCCAAACTTTTAAAACGTGCCAATCCAATACATGTCGTTAACCAGTCTTTAAGTGGTATTTGAAAAGACATAAATGACCATCCAGTGCCATCTAATTTTCTTTATCAACCTTCCAAACGTTAACAAAAAATGAATAGTACCAAATCTTTTTCTCTTATATTCAAGAAAGTTGGGACCACGTCTCATTGGGCATTCTAGTGACCCTAGCTTTCTTGAATAAAAGAGCCACAGATTTTGGACTGTTCATTTTTGTCAACGTTTGGATGGTTGATAAAGAAAATTATGACACTCTAAGGGATTTTGCATCTTTTCAAATGCCACTTAATGGTTGGTTAACCATAGGTACTAAATTGGCATGTTTTGAAAGTTTGGATACTGAATTGTCGCATTTTAAAGTTCAGGGGATCAAAGTGGCACTAGGCCCAAAGTATAGGGTACTAATCGGGAATTTTCCCAATTAATAATGATAGTCAAGGTTTTAAAAACCAACCCGAAAACATAACCATTCTAGCTACTGGTTTTTGGGCCAATGGTTCAACCATCCGAGTTGAACGGTTCGGAAGGTTTGCATTAGGGAAAATATTTCTCATATAAAAGTTTTATATGAGAAAGGAGAAGAGACTATGTTGTCGGTTGAGAAAGAAAAAATAAAAAAAGAACAAAAGAAGGAAACAAAGAAAGGAAAAAAAAAGAAAATGAGATAAAGGAAAGGAAGGAGGGTGTAGGCACCACATTTTAGCGCCCCTTAGTCTTTCTACATCATTTTGAGATTCAAGCATGCTTCAGCTAACCTTATGGTCGACCTAGGGGTATTTTTGGAATTTTTCAAAAGTTGGGGCCTCAAGGATCCAAAACCATAGGTACATAGAGCCCAAAAATCCAAATCCAATGACACTAATATCACCCAAATCTGACACTATTTACCCCTTCATCTTGAGACCCGAAGCCGGAACCGATTCCGATCGTCCGATTGGAGTCATTTTCATCTCAATCTTCATTTCACATCAAATCCAAAATCCGAGACCATAGTTACGTAAAGCCCAAAAATCCAAATCCAACAACACCAAGATCACCCAAATCCAACACCATTTACCCTTCATCCTGAGACCCGAAGCCGGAACCGATTTCGATTGTCCGATCATATTCATTTTGATCCTAATCTTCATTTCACATTAAATCCAAAATCCGAGACCATAGGTACGTAGAGCCCAAAAATCCGAATCCAACTACAACAAGATTACCCGAGTCCGACACCGTTTACCCCATCATCCTAAGACCCGAAGCCAGAACCAATTATGATCGTCCGGTCGGAGTCATTTTAATCCTAATCCTCATTTCACATCAAATCCAAAATCCGAGACCATAGGTATGTAGAGCCCAAAAATCCAAATCCAAGACACCAAGATCACCCGAGTCCGACACCATTTACCCCATCATCCTAAGACCCGAAGCTGGAACCGATTCCGATCGTCCGGTCGGAGTCATTTTAATCCTAATCCTCATTTCACATCAAATCCAAAACCCGAGACCATAGGTATGTAGAGCCCCAAAGTTCAAATCCAAGACACCAAGATCACCCGAGTCCGACACCATTTACCCCATCATCCTAAGACCCAAAGCCGGAACTGATTCTGATCGCCCGATTGGAGTCATTTTAATCCTAATCCTCATTCACAAAAAATCCAAAATCCGAGACCATAGGTACATAGAGCCCAAAAATCCGAATCCAATGACACCAAGATCACCCGAATCCGACACCGCTTACCCCTTCATCTCAAGACCTGAAACCGGAACCGATATCGATCATCCGATCGGGATCATCTCTGATCCTAAATCCTAACCCCCATAAAATCTGAAATCCAACTTTATAGATTGACAGATCTCGAAATTCTAAGTCCAACGGTACCAAGATCGTCCAATTCCAACACCATTAGCCCCTCTATCTTGAGACCCGAAGCTATACTCAACCTGGGTCCTCCGTTTAGAATCCTCTTCACAATAACTTCAAACCTAGGGCATTCCACGATCCAAACTTCCCCTCAGCCTCTAGAAACATCTTAAAAATCTAAGATTTGACCAGCTATGGCTTCCAATCAATCAAGTCAATCACCTAAACTTGGAATGTCCAGTTTAGGTAAATTGGTGAAATCTTTCACTCTTTGTCTTGATTGATTGAGAGAATCTCTCACAAACTGTCTTGACAGCCCATTCACTCAATCAATCTCCCTCCAAAAACCATTCAAACATCAGCCATTGATCTCTCTTATCTTCCATCTCAGCCCTCCATTCCCCTCTCAAAAAATCTATAAGTACCACCCTTTTCTCACATCCAAAACACACAAGAAAGCGTAGAGATCCTACACTCACTAGTGTAGAGAATACACCCTTCACGTCCCAAGCAGCCCCAAGCTTCACTAACCCATGTTCTACACTCCTCCACCATCTCTCATGTCCCTAGAGTCTCCCCATATCATTGTTTTAGTCCAAGAGCTCCCCAAGTCGTGTCGAAGAGACGATGCTGAAAGCATTCTTGAAATAAGAATTGTGCAACAGAAATGATACTCGATCCAGAAGTGTTTCTACACATCTTGGGCTACATATCCAACGTCTTTGACCTCCCAAATGACTGGAAATTCATCTTCAACTTAAAGAATTTCACAAAGTTTTCAAAGACAATCATGAAGAAGCATAGCAAGGGCAACTATAAAGGCCATGTTGTTGATAGAAAAACTGGCGAGAGGTGATTCCCACTTTATGATCCGTAAGGTTTGACGTTCCTTTTTTTTTATTCTTCTATTGTAGGCTTGCAATTTCCATTTGTGTTAGTTAATTTTTGTTTCTGCCCAAGTAGCTAAGTAGGATTGACGTTCCGATCAATCAAAGACATTGATAGAATTTCTTTTGTCTAAAGTAGCTGTTGTTTTTTAGTTCTACTTAACTCATTTCTCATTTCTAATAATCCTCTCACTTGCTTAATTGACATCGCTTCTTGCATTTAGATTTTCTAATTTCAGCCTTACAATTGATAGATTAGAATAGTTAAAATTGTC